CAGCTGTCTGCCACCGTCACGAGGTTACTGTAGAGCACAGACCGGCATTTTGGGAAGGAAAAGCCGCTTTGCGGGCAGCTCGGCGGGCATGCTGGGATAGCGTTGAGCGGTGTGGTGCAGAGCTTGGCTAGTGCGACTTTTGTGGAGCGCGAGAGCTTAGACGTTGAAGGGCTGACGTTTGTTTGGGGTGATGAGGAGGTTGACCATAAAAAGAATCTCGTACTCCGTGACTTTGTTGACACTTCCAGCCCCTGGTCTGTTTACAGCTGCACCCTGGGTCTATGTACAGGATGGAAGGACATCAGGTTACCACCAAGAGCAGGCCTCTTCAGCCCAATTTGCTTGTTCGTTAGCAATAACCACAGGCTGAGAGCGATTATAAATTAATACAGCTGTTTCTTGATTGAAACCAAAGAGTTACACGGTGGTGTTGCTTCTTTCACATTTGCACAACCCTTTGTGTTATAGAAGTGCCTCCTGTTTTGGCTTCTAAAAGCACTTCAGTGTGTACGGCAATACCCATTGTAATGCAGCAAACTTCCCAGGCCTGCACTCGTCTGCTGAAACACTTCCTCCTGCTTCCTGAGGCTGCAAGAACGACTACTGTCCCTTCCAGAGCAAGATCCTGGTGTGGTTCTGATAGAACCCACTGTGCCAGTCCCGCCAGCCGCGACTGGCCAACTGGACCACTAGTGTCCTAGGGAAAACCGAATGCCAAGACCTCTTCCGATTTATTTTCTGAACGTAAAGTATTTTGAGTTTTAAATGGTATTTAACACTGCGTGTTTTTTTTTCCTGCAGAAAATATAATAATCTCAAACAGGCTGGTTAATCCTTAAAATAACAAGTAATAGGTTTCTTCCATGCTGAAAAGAGAAGAAAGAAAACAATCTTCCTTCTCTTTCCAGCATGGAAGAAACCTTTACTTGTTCCTTTGCAGCCTTTGCATGCTGAGGCAGCTTCCCACCTGAACTGGTTAATCTTTAGTTTACTTTATGTTCAGATTTAGACCTTGGCCCCGAGCTGCTTCTTGAGAGGGTAGTGAGAGCTCTGTGGCGTGAAGTGCCTTGTCTTTTGTCTTTACCTTGGTAACTTTTTGTATATGTGCAGCACATGTACCCTTACGTGAACTGAATTGAATGTACAATCTTATTAGTATACCCTGACTGACCGCAAGATTTTGATCAACAGTTAGATCTGGGTGACATATCAAATATTTAGTTGAAGTGGCACATTTTCTACCCTTGATTCATTTTGTACATACCAACTGCTAAGTGCACTGAGCTTTCCATGTTCCACAGGCACATGGTAGGACGGGATGATGTCATCTGGTCTGAA